CTTTTCGCTAACAATATATTAGAACATACTTCGGTGTTCACAGTTGTGAATTAATACTTAAGGCACATAGTCAATTCTATTTTGCTGATAAAAGCGGGAAAATACACTTTGAACATGAAATTTGCAACGGATCTTGTATAGAAAACCTGAAAATCTTATAAAATTGTTGTTTTATCAATTATAAGTCTATATTGATATTAATGAGCTGAAACTCCAATTGTGTAAGAGTAATAGATGCGTATAAATAAATACAACGATCCGAAACGTCTGTGTGCTACTGAAAACATGAATACATGAACACATGAAATCAGAAAATCGAAGTATCAATCTTTATTAATCCCAAAAATCTATAAACAATACATACTATCTAAGTTTTATTGCGGTTTTTTTTCTCTCTGAATATTATTTTTTTATAAATCAAACTGTACAATATTACACTAATCTAGTTTATTTTAAAATAAAGATTTATGCAGTACTTTTGTAATTATTATGTATTTAAATTAAATTACTTTAAACTACTAAACAATAACATTGATAACATATTCCGTCAATTCAATTAGATAGATTTTCAGTAAAAATAAAATTAAAAATAAAAAAATCAAAAATCGTCTATTTCACATCATTGCGGACTTTCTTTAGTATTTCTTACAAATTAAATGCGATTAAAACCGTTTAGATGTGTTTTCAAACCGCAGGCACTGGCATAATGATACTCTTATAGTAGCAAATAATTTCAATTCTTGTTTTATATAATATTATTCGTTAAATGCTGTTTTTTAAGACACGATGCCATTGTATAAAAAGTCAACCGATGTTGTAGGATTCGTGTTTTTAATATTATAATATTATTTAATATTATGAATCGCAAAGTACGTATATTTTACCATAGATTTATTTTGTAATCCGAGAGTAGAAATATGTGATAAAATGTTGTATCCGAGAAACAAATCGTGTTCTGAATTCCATAAATGCTTTTGAACCCACGTAAATGGTGCCTTTTTAAATAGTTTCAAAAATAACTATTAATAAAAAATTTTATAGCGCATACAATATTATACAGTTGACACCGTTTATGAAACTCACGAATATATAAGATTCAGACGCTTGTAAGACTCAGGATCGACTGGAATGGTCCGGACGTATCCAAATATAAAAAAATAAATAAATAAATGAATAAAAATTGGTTATCAGATTCGAATTTCATAGAAATTTTTCGAAAATGTGAACCTTTTTGGCAATATTTTAAAATAAATTAGTTTTAGAAAAGTATTCCTGTTGTAGTGGTTTTAATTAATTTCCTATTGAAATATGGAAAAAAAATTATTATTATAATTTTTATTATAATATATAATAATATAATATAATTATTATTAAAAAAATTATTTATTCAGTTGATTGGTAAATTCTAAAAACCTATGTATATTTAAAAAATATTTAAATAAATACTATATACATATATATATAGAACCACCAATATTTTCGTTTCTACTCCATAGTAGACAATAAGAAATAACAATAAATAACCACGCTGTGTTATATAACATTATTTAAAATAAATTGGTTAAGAGTGAAAAAAATTAATTTTTTTTAAAAAATATAAAATATGATCTCTATTCGGGTTCGCTATAAATCGCGAGAGCGAACAGAACAGTGTGCAACCCTCGATAACTACCGAACCCAAGTCGTTACCGTTGTGCCGGTGTGCAGTGCGACGGTCAATAATGTCACACCGAGAAACCGTTTCGACTGTATCAACCGCCGCCCGCGCGTCGAGGTGATAAGCGACCGCACGGTTCGTTAGGTTTTTAGAATTTATCCTCATATAATTAATATAATACGTGCGTGCGACCCATACATCGTGTGTCGTAAACCGTACGTTTTATAAATCTCGTTATACCACCTGCACGCAGCGCCGCAATAACGCAGTTTAATGTATCGTATAATACGATGGCGATCGCTCCATTTCGGGGTGCGCGCAGTTATTATTATTATGCCTATCGGTGGTGTGACCGAGCAGGTATTCTATTATTTATACCCGATTGACAAAAACCGGCGAACGCGCCCGTTCATAACACGTGTATTATCGTGTAACGTCCCTCATTAACAGTCATTACTCATATCGCACACTCGACGCGCTGCGCACACACGTTACGGTTATTAATACTTATGCACGCGTATATCGCAATCGCCGCGCGCACGTACACGCGTAAGAAGACAAAACTTTTGTCCCCGTTTCCTACGCGCGCGCACATCAATCATAGTCGTAAAATTATTTAAACAGAACGCGCGCGCAACAACACTTCAATGCGGTGATTGATAACAAACGAATTAGGGTCTACGTGCGTGTCCGCATTATACGTAGTCGGAGGGCGCACACGTTTTCGTTCGTTTTTTTAATTTTTTATCCTTCCGATTTCTGCACACCTGTCGCGGTTTATCGTGTTACGTAAACGATCAATTCGGGTGCAAAAAAAAAATAAAAAAATAAATAAAAAAAAAATACCTTTAATACGAAATGTATACCGATTAGACATAACATATTGTGCAGGAAGCAACAACCATAGGCACGAATAGTGTTTGAGATTTGGGGGGGGGGCTGAAACTCAGATTTATATCGAACACTTTATTGACACTTATATTACAAGAACATTTTCCTCGCTACGCTCACATTAAATGTACCAATCAAAATCATCAATTTACAATACTTATTAAATATGTATGTTTTAATCAAAACAAATTATTAAAAAAAGTAAATTACATTAGTTTTATTCTTCTTTCTGTTTTAGAAAATTCGTTTAAAATATTCTCAACGTCTACAGCAGTATCTTTTTCTATATTATGTATGTCTAATTCATTGAACCGGTTTTGAGCCATAGTAGACTTTAAATATGAATTGATCCTTCGCATTGTCGAAAATGATCTCTCACAAGTGGATGAACTGACTGTTGGTAATGTGATTGCTACTTGAAGGAGTTTAAATAAATTTGGAAAAACTTGTTGGATAACACGTACATTCCTAAAAATATTCATATTCTGCATTATTTATTATATTTGCATTATTTTTCGGTGTGTCTGAGCAAAATAGATTTACAATTTGTTTCATATTATACCGTAATTTAGTGTATATATGAAATAAGTATTTTTTTGGGGGGGGGCTATACAAAATTTAGGGAGTGCTTAGCCCCCCAGCCCTTCCGCTATTGCGTCTAAGATAATAACATTTTAATGAAACCGGCCTATGGAGTATTACCAGTGGGCGACTTCCTCGGCTGGTACCGAATTCCGTCCCGGGCCCCCTATGGTTCCATAACTGAAGACCGAATTCCGTCCCGGAGGCGGAGCAACTATGTCTGAATTCCGTCCTACTACCTGTAACTATGATATATTTGGCAGTAATATTTTCCTTCTCATTTTTTCCAGGCTTAGGACTGGCAGCTTTGCTGGCATGTTTAAAAATGTAAAATCCGGCAAAACAGCCTTATTTATTTACTATTGACATACGGAGCAAAAAAAAACTCCACTTACAGTATATGCCATTTATGTATAAATATGACAGTCATATAAGTATTTTAATAAATTTAAGAGTATAAGTATAATATATGTTATGTGTAATTAGTATTTAAATTATTTATTATTTAAATTTTTTTTTTTTTTTAATTATTATTTTTTAGATTTGAAATAGGCTGGTAAAACTTAGACGACACCTGACTTTAGTATACACAATACATAGTATATAAATCGTTTACGTTTTTATTGCAAATAATTGCGATAATACAAAAAAACGATACGCGTGATGTCAGGTGAAGCCTCTTGAAGTTCTATAAAATTAAACTTATATTAATACCGTCCAAGACTAGATGGGACGGAATTCGGACATAGTTTATCCACCCCCGGGACGGAATTCGGACGTAGTTGCTCCGTCTCCGGGACGGAATTCGGCGATTGCCACTTCCTCTATCAAATGACTCGTGTTATATTTCATATAATATGTATTATTATCACGACTTATTGTACAAATTATGCCGTATAGATTGTCTTTTTCATTTTGAATAAATAAAATTTAATTAAATCGGCCACATTCATTGTTGACACTTTGGTCAAATTTCTATCGTTATTCATGCATTCAATTATAGTTTATGCTTTCTTCGATAAAATTCGACATGTTTTTTTTATAGAACATTTTTTCGTGAAGTTTGATTATTTTTATGAACATTATTATTTTTTTATTATTATTATTATTATTATTTTAAATGTGTGCACGTTTAGGTGCGTGCAGGTGGTATATAGTTATTATATTATTAAAAAATTAAAAATTCGATGATAAACTTTGTGATGGAGCACGATATAATTGTTTTTTAATCATATTAATCTGAAATTTTTATAACGAACTGTATTATGTTGGTTTATTTATCGTTTTTTATATGATAGTGAAATTATCACGATTTTCGAACATATGACGGTCAGGTTCAACAAGGCTTTAGATGCAGATCTACTATCTGAAGAAGTTTTGACGTGAAAAAAAAAATGATAAAATCATCATTGAAAAATCAGTCTTACTTCTCTCGAGAAGTATATTCATTTATAAATTCTCATTGAAAAGGTCATTTATTCAAATGGTTCGCGGCGCCTAGATAAGATATGTAGTCACTCGGTTAATGAACTGTTGACTTAATATAATCTTCTATAAAATATGTTCAAGAAATAAATACTAGAAATATACGTTACCTTAATAATACTATGTACAATTTAAACCTCAAAATATAAATACTTATCTTATCCAACTGCGTTAGCTTTGTTGTCTTGATGAAAACCAATATTTATACTGTTATTACAAAAACTCCGATCCGAACTTAGCATCTGTTAAGTTTCCATCAGATTTTAATAATAATAATAATAATAAAGAAAGTGATTCAGGATCCGATTAATATTTAAACTTGGAATATTATCGCTGAAAATTAGCGCAAAAATGTTTATTATAATTTCTTTTTCTTTTTTTTCAGTAGTAAAAGGCTTACCGTGTACGGTTTACAATAAAACCTACGACAACGGAGAAACGTTCAGGCTAGACTGCAGAACACAGTGCACTTGCCAGGTAAGGTTATCAAATACTGTACGTTCATAGAAGTGTAATAATATCATAATTTTTTTCTCTTCAAATTTTAAATTACAAGTGAAGCCAAACATTTTTTTTTTTTTTTATTGTTTTCTTCTTAATAAGTTTACAGGGTTTTATTTGTGACACAATAATAATATTTTCATCCCTCCACTTATATGAAACCTCAAAAAAAGAAAAAAATATATATATGATACTACATACTATACTATTATATTGGTGTATGGTTTATGTATTATTTCGACCAATACGTGTAGTAAGTGTCAACAAGGTCTACTGTTGAAAAACAATAGGTTTTTGAGTATACGTAGTCCCAGAAAAAGAAATTTAAAAATGTCCTTTAAAACCCTTGTAACACTACGTGCAATCTACACGCTGAGATAAAATATAAATATTTATTGCTTTACCACAACTTTGTTTTTACATACTTTAAATATTATTTTCGATCAGATTTACAAATGTTTTACTGAAAATCATCAATATTATAATTATTATTTTATTCTTAAGACATATTCGTATGCAATACTAACATCCATGGCGATCGGAATATTTAATTTTGTTATTTTTATTTTAATGTTCTAGCCTAATTTTTCGATTAACTATAAATTGTAAATTAGTACATTGCAACAAATTCCAGCCAAGATTTTAGTTGAATGATATCGAAATAATGTCGGTCTATTATAAGATCTATTATTCGAATCGTTTTCCTAGAAATCAGTACAAGCGATTTACCTAATAACTCAACATTAGGTTGACTTAAATTCTGAGTCATTTGAATGGTAGAACACTAAATCCTTAGAGTTGCTGATAACTAGTCCCTGGGGTGAATATATTAACTCTTCGCTATCGACTGATCATTAATAATGAGTGTGAGATAGCATTGTGAGTAATGAGTCCAAATAAGTTCCATACAGTGTAATATAAAAAGGACGATCAGTATGATATATATGTACATATTTACATATTATGTACCACGAATTCGGTTAGGTTATATAGTTTTTTACATTTTTAATTAGTTTTACGTTATAAAACAAAAAACCATGCTATAGTATATTACAGAAATAATAAAATAACTTATGATAATATATATAATATTACGTGCGGGTCGTATCATTTTCAAACAAATTTTCAACTTGTATTTTCATATACTTCATTAATGTTTCGTCCGACCTAACTGCACAATCTTGAATACAACTCTTATTTTCAATTAAAATGTTCATTTAAATTATGAAAAAAATGAACAATGAGTTTTATTATTATGTTTCTACCGTTATCAACACCTGATTCGCTTGTATTCCGGAAAATGAGACCTAATTACAGTATTTTCCTGATTGATGTTGAAGAACCCGTGGTCCGAGAAGAAGAAACGACAAAAATACTTCATTATATTCTGTTTAAAACATTATAACAACTAACGAGACGTGCTTCTGCGTTTGGCAACAAGCCGCTGGGAATTACACGTGTTTCTGATACTGCCTAAGATATTTCCAGCTGTTGCGACTGTCCTGGCTGAAGGTTTACGATATTTTATCAGCAGTTTTATTGTGCAAACGGTTGCGGTGAGTTTATCGTTGTAGACTTCGCGTCCACTGTGTTTCGTGTTCATATGAACGGTCAAAGCGGTTACTGCGGTGTACGTATGATTGTATATCTTAGCATTAATGCAGTGACTGTACTTCGCTGCTAACTGAATTCCGTCAAAAATCGAATTGCCCACAGCGTCGCATTATCCCATGGGATTGTATTAAAGGCTATGTAAATGAAGCCTATGCCTTCATAAATATGAAAACTCAGAGAATAGTTGTTTTCGGCGGTATACCGTTTTTAAATGTTTGGACGAGAGCCAACGACATAAGTTGCTATTGAGGTTTCCGCTAATATATGCTTGTGTTTATCTGGACATAACTTATTATTACATCGGTTCAATCGATTGATTTGTTTTCTTCCAGAACGGAACTTATGCCTGTGCATCGTTGTGTCCGCAAGAGAACATATCTCCTCAGGGACTTTGCAGACATCCCCGGCTAGTCGAAGTGCCCGGACAGTGTTGCAGAGAATGGATGTGTGACAACGTAAATAGTAAGTACTAATAATTAATTATTTTTCACTCGCAATACCAACAATGAGTGACCGCCTATATGATATTTTGAGAAATTTAATCAATGACATATTGTTGTAACTCCTTTTTTCGCTCCTATAATCAATTCAACTTCAGAGTCTTTAGACCAATGGTCTCCAACGTACGGCTCATCAATATTCTTGAACCAATCCAACGATTTAATTGATATATTGAAAATACAATAATTTTCAATTTAATAAATTTTTTGTATAAAAAAAAATTGATTAAGTTAAAAATAAGTCTTAAATTGCATGATAACCATAATCACGATAAAATTAATTTAGTGAATCAAATGATGCATTTATCCAACAAAAACCATGCTGTTTTTAGTCTGTAACTAAAATTGATTAAGCATTGTAATAATTTATAACTGTTGCCATTTGTAAATTATATATGTATAACAATTTTATTTTTAATTGTTTTGTTTATAATGTTATTTTTTTTTTTTAATGATTATGTATTTTATAGTAAATATTGTGATATTAGGACTCGTGTATTTTGGATGATATGTAAATAATACATAAGTTTTAATACGATCAAAATATACTTGAGATCCACTTTATCACGCGTTGACGTTTGTTCTATACCTATGTCACTTGTTTTGATCAACTCATATTTTTATTGGTATACACTGTTCTACAACGGCAAACAGAATTTTCCATCATCATGCCAAGTAAACAATATCCGTCCTTCGTATAAAAATAAAACCCACGAGATAACACTCGGAGTAAATGATTTACACACACACACACACATATATATATATATCAATATATATTGGCGTATATCACTACTATTATTGTTTGTGATGTCCGAAAAAAAGTGACGTTACTACTGAGAGGTAACCCGATCACCAGCTAACGTATTCATCTCTAAAATCTACATCTTATCGGCCATCAACCGACTGCGTATTTTATTCAAACACGACGTATAGATAAACGTATTTTCAGTAACAGCGGTGATGACTTTCGATCGATATTGCAAAAGGCCTACGAACCCACACACACGCAAATGCATACGTGCATACGTATAGACATAACTTTGTGCAGTGCTTATATGCAACGTCACGTTCAATTTCAAAAGAACTCTTCGAACCGGAATCGTAAGCGGTGGCCAAAGGAAGAGAGCTTTTAAAAACCATAGCGTGCACACAAGTGGAGCACTTAAAATATACGTCGCAAATCCTTTTCTTTTATTCTCTTTCACATACACGCTCTTTATTTCCTCCCATCATTCTCCTTTTCTCTATCTCTCACTCTCTCTCAAGGTTCTCATCCCTGTACTAAATACACGATATTATACAGAGTAATATTTTTAACGTTGAACACACATTTCAATGCCATTTCCTTAATCTATATGTTTTCGTATAAACTATTTAAATGCGATTCGGAAATGTAATAAATATTTTTATAAAAGTTTAATTTATACTTATACATTGTTTTCGTCTTTTGTTTTTACTTCACGAATCGATGTTTTGAAATGGAACAGGTTATTTTGAGCTTTCAAATATTAAAAAAAATCAAGCATCTTACCAACAGTGAATTACTTATAAACATTTCAAATTTAAATAAATTCTTCTTAAAATACTGCGAAATTTCACCACACGAAATCCTTAATGCCCTACCGCTCTGCTCAACGAGTCTTTGTATACCAAACAACCATACTACACAACCATAGTACAACCGCAGCAGGAGATGTGCTTATATGACACAGCTATTTCGGAAGCGTGAAAACCCGAACAAACGGAAACGCTCGTTGCTTACACAAATGTTGTTATTGTTATATTAGTGTATACTATACATTATTATCTCTCTGTTGCAGCCGCAGCAGGGATTTTTATCCATAGTGGCTGTGCGGTTTTTGCAACATCACGATTTGAATGTCAATCCGTAAATTATATTTTGTCATAATCCATCACTGGTTGTGCTCATTATTGAAACCAACCTATCGTCTAGGAAAATACATTACATTACAATTTCATTTTCTGAATATACCTTATGCATACTTTTTTATTAAATTTTACGTAATATGTGTATCTTATAAATGTGTAGCGAATGTTTACATGTACTTATCCATGGGAATTCGCTGATTCACGGAAATTATAATAACATGAAACCTGTTTAGGATGAATATTTAATTTTGTACCATCAAAATCTATACTACATGACGAATATACAGTAAATTTACTGAAACTTAGTGAAAACGAAATACTATTTGATCCCATGAGATTACATTTTAGACTGCATTTGCTACACATGTATTTTAAACCCATATTCTGTTCGACATTCTGTGTTTCGTTCAACTATCATATTTTATAATTTATAACTTTCATTATACTAACTTCATTATATACTTCAATTATATGAACAATTTTATATGAACTCTTTACAGCGGATGAGTATGACTTTTCATAAGTTCGTTTTACTTCAGTGAAAACATTTTCAAATATATGTATCATTACAATTTTTTTTTACAAGCATAATTTTCAAATGTTGACATATTACTCAATTAAAGTAACAAAAATGTACATCATTTCTTAAACTGTAAATTTAAAAAAATTTTAGTCTTTATACTTCAGGATCGACCGTATTTCGACTTTATTATACGAGTATTTAAAAATATATCTGATAATTGATAAACCACGTTACACATAAATAAATTCAAAATTAATCAACATTAAGTTAATGAATTATAAAATATTTTCTAATAAGAAAAATTTATTCATATTTAACCTGCAAGAAATAACTTAAAAAGTGTTTATATTTTTCACAAAAAACTTAAAGTTATTTCTTTAAATACATTAAATTATATTGTTGTTGAAGATATTATTTTTTAACATTAAACAGAAACTGTTTTACCCAAAATTTAAAACTATCTTTTATTAAATCATATGTTGATCTGCATAAAAACTTAGATTATTTATAAAATAATAAATTTCAATTGAAGTATTATTCTAAGAATTAAATTTTGAAAATCGAATAATACGAAGCGAATATATAGATACTTCAGATTATATATGGGTTTAAAAGAATTAATTAAATTAATTAATTAAAAATAATTGAGTAAATAAAATGCATAATTTGAAAATCAAATAATCTAAAAACATTTCAACGATATATAATACCTTATGAGCTAAAACTAATTATCAGTAATAGATAGTAGCAATTCTCTTTTTTTTCCTACGACTGTTTAAAATTCCTAAACCAATGAAAAAAACATAACAATTTGATATAATATGTAAGATTGTCTTTTATTATTAAAAATTACTTATGCATACATACAATGTATATTATACATGTAAAAAGTTAGTTTTATAAGTAATTATGTGATTAAATAATTAAAACTAAAAATGTTTATAAAATAATAATCTGCTACTAACATTATTTAAATTATTAAAATGATTTACAAAAAAAAATTGTTTAAATTCCATTATATAATATTACGAGTATATTATATAGTAAATTACGTTTCGATCATTTTTCGAATTATTTCAAGTATAAAGGAAAACTTCCACTTCTTACACCCCATATCGTATATATAATATCATCATTTAAATTTTTCCCAAAATCCATTTTCCTTTTCCGTCGCACGTCAAAGTGATATTATCGCTTGAAAATAGCACAAAATTTGATTTTATTTTTATTCGATTCATTTTTTATATTATTTGTAGAAACCAACCAAAATCTTAAAGTAATCTAGAAGGATAAATAAAAGCAAAAGTATACTTGTATTTAAATCTGAACCGTGTGCTAACACCATACAAGGAAACTTTTACAAACTAAATTTTCACTGTTTTCTCTTTCTTGACTACAGTTAATGGTACATATAACAAGTAGATGTACATATTTTTTAAGCGAATAAAATCTTAAAATCGTTATTTTAATCGCGCTGTGTTATACATGGATGCGTGTTGCTCACGAACATATTGTATTCAACATCGCGTTTACGATATATTTACGTTTGAAATCCACCGGCCGTTTATTTTATTTTTTATCCCGCGTCGCGTTATAATAATATCACGGCTCGTCTGTGTTAGTAGCGCAGCCAAGACGTTGGTAATTAAGCGTACGCGCGTCACATATCATAACCGACGTCATGCCGTAGACCGTGGTACTGCTTAGTGTTCAGACTAATGTGCTGGAAACGTGAAGGGATTAAAACTTAAATTAGGGGTGTGCTACCACGCGGCAGAGGATATGAAGGAGATTTGAATCATTTATTAGTGCGTACCATGGGAACAGCTAGAAATACGTAGTGGAGGGACGCCTTTTCAAATTAACGTTCGCTGGACTTTCTTTTACGTGTATTACGTCTATATATATATATATATGTTTATGTGTGTACGTCTGAGTATGTGTGTGTAGCCACTACGCGTTCTATATGGTTCATTTTCTTTTTCTTCCTTCATCCACCCTTCCTCGGTCCCAATGGTTTGTTCCCGGCACGTCCGCGTAGTATGTTGAACACATATCATTAATAATTCCTATGCACCGCTCCAGATCCGTCACCACCTCAGATGGTCCGGAAAAAGTAATGGCCAGCGATGAATAATTTATAATCTAACCGTGTGTTTGATGAATTTTTAAGGTTCTTGTCACTTCGGGACATGCGCCGTGCTTACGGGACCGAGGTTGAATTCAATCGACCGGATAAACCTTGGGCACGCCGAACACAGAATTGATTGATAAAACGCCCGCGGTGTCCCAACAAGTTTGGCACGAACAATTTATGAGATTAAAAGGCCCACGATAAATCTTTTACAAAGTTTTATTTAAAGACGAAAAGCGTAGAGCGGACTTTATAAAAATGGAAAACAATTAAAATATTTTACTAAATGTCTGGTGGTGAAAACCGCGTGAAATTTATAAACATAGGTACTAGGTGTGCAGTAAAAAAAAAAAAAACGGATAGTTTTGAAAAGGAAAAATATAAGTATAACCAAAATGTTCAATCTATTTACAAGATTCTGCAACAAATTTAGTTAATGTGTGGAATACAATATGTTTGATACTACAGTGGGCACTCCACAGACACACACGATAAGGCGTTTAGTAATGCTGCAAGAAATTTCTTAGAATTAAGATTTATACAACAATTTTACGTCACAACGACAGGTTTGAAAGCCACGGTGCCTACTAAAACTTCATTGATCTACCAATATACAACATTCCTAGTTTCATTTATGTACCTCCACACGAGGTTGACTAACACCTAATCTAAATCCATCTAATTAATATGATGCACTCTGCAGACTTGAGTAAAATACTTTTTAAAAGTATTTAGAATAAATACTCGAATATTTACAAAAATAGTATTCCGAATATGTATTTAAATACTTTATACAAATTTTATTCCGAATACATTGTTTAGAATACTTCAAAAGTATTCTGAATACTTTTAAAATATTTCTAGTTTTCATACTGTGAAAATAATAGATGTCCACTCAACAGAAATTATAGGCTAAATATATTTTATTTTATTGTATTTTTATATTACAGAACTGTTATAGTTTATGATTTATAACAATAATAAATACCTGATATTAGCTTATACAAGATACGACGGAGAAGTAATAAAATCATTTAAAAAAGAGATGATTTAATGGTATTCAAAATACAGTATTCAGAATACTCGTTATAAGTATTCAAAATACTTTATTGAATACTTTCAAAAAAAGTATTCAAAAAGTATTCGAAATACTTAAAAAGTATTCTGAATACAGTATTCCGAATATTGTATTCGGAATACTACCCAAGTCTGGCAATCTGTATACATACTAAATATTATAAACAATACGTGTTGCGTTGGATTTTTTTTTTTACCAATATTTTAACCAACTTTAACCAATATTACATACGAAATGTCTCGGAATTGTTATGTATTAATTAGAATAATGATCAACGCTAGAGTTCAGATGATTTTGAGTTAAAAACGTTGTTTGGATACAATTTTTTTTTTAAATACATGTACCTACTTTATGATACTATGTCGATGACAATTCCGTATTTTAATAATACTGGAATTTCAACAACGGTGTAGTTGAAGAGATTAAAGGGTTTGTTTTATATTTTTCAGTGGAAAGGCCACCGAATTGCGAAGCGTTGGTGACTCCGTGGTCGGAATGTTCATCGCAGTGTGGTCTGGGACTTTCGAGGCGCATGTCTAATGCAAATGAAGCATGCAAACCTAATAACGAAACCAGACTTTGCCAAATAAGGCCGTGTCACTCACCACCACTAGTGAATGCTAAATATGCAAGACACCACCACATAAGGGTAAGCATACCGAGTCTATTGTTACAAATAAATGTAAGTACACGCACGTAAGATAATATTTTACTCCAACAATTTATAATGATAAAGGAGTGGGGCTGTGTCATCAAATGTATTTGTTATCTTTACTTTGCATACGCGTAATTCGGCGTAGATTCACATTAGTAAAGTACACACATAAGGTGGGCTGGTTTTTTGTCGCTTACTTGACATTAAAATAAATTAACCTGTTGCCAAATACCTAGGTATATAAATCAAAATCATTGTTATAAAATTATATTACGTAATTACGAGTGGGAGATTTTTTTTCACGGAATTTCCGTTGTGAGTTCACCACTTGTACTTGATAAAAATATTGTTCTCATTTACAAACAATTAGATCGGTTATTTCAAGAACAACAAAATTAATTTCATTTAAAATATACACAAACCACGAGAAACCACAACAATTTAAGATTTTTTTGTATTTAAATAACTTATTTTCAGGATTTGTAATAATCATTATTTATAGTTTTAAATAGTCTACATTTTTCTATTTTTTAATAACCTAGAAAAAAAAATAAATAAAAAGAAAATAAAAAAAGTGAAATACAAGAAGAGTACAGATTACCTTCCTTCTTGTTTAAGGGAGGACATTTTGGATTATAAAGATTTGAGAGTAAATCATTGCAACTTTGTATTCTTGAAAACTAAATAAAAGAGCACAGTTATAATTATTGCATGAATAATGTGAGCTTGAAATTAAGAGAAACAAACACAAGATTTGATGAACTGATACTGTAACTTTTTTAAACTTGTACAAAATTTGTAATTGGATATTATAATTCCATTGCACTTGAGTAACGAAATCAGCCAAGTCCGTAAATAAACCCCAACGACAGAGGTTCTTTATTTTAAACAGTTATAAAGAACATAGTTGACAGTTGGTGTGCATACAAATAAGACATGTAAAGATCTTCTCGGAGGTCTGGTGACCAAGTTGTGTAGAAAAAAAATACTATATAGTTAAAGGTCTTCTCCTTTAAGAGTTGATATATTTAAGATCAAATAGTTGTGCCATTAGGTTTCGACTTTCTTATTTTATTTTTCAAATGTTTCAATTAGATCTTTTCGAAAAACTGGAAGGAAATTTGTTGATAGAAAATGTCCATATTAGTTTATTTTCTACAATTCATAATAGATACTATATATTTCAAATAACTTATAAATAAATTTTTGTTTTAAGGTTTGTTATAATTCAAATAACTTTTATAGTTTTATACTTTTATAACTTTTATTTAATGTGCAAAGTAATAAAATACATTGTTTCAATTATGTTTTTAAAAAATATAAATTTATATGTAAAATACAATGAAGAAACGAAAAAATAAAATTTAAAAAAAATAAGTCATACATTTCTAAATTTTATAATTGAACCGTGGATTTCAATGTTCATTTATAGAATTAATTTTTTTAAAATGTACATTATTTCTTCTTTCGCTTTATTTAATTTTCAGTTTGCACAATTATTAAAAATCCACTATACGAGAATGATATTTGAAATAATATAAAACTATATATTGTCACTTTTATATACTATATTTCTTTAGTTTTTACTCATAACAATGTATTCATAAGCTGAGATTAAATTAACTGTTTTTAGTTTTGACTAACTTCATACACTAATGCAGTGTCCGTGAAACGATACACTATAGATACCATAGACACCATTGACCTGATATACATGCGCACTAGATTTATAAATAATTTTTGATTCCGAGGTGTGTGATTGATTAATTAATTACATAAATCACGTTTAAGTTATATTTATACTGCAATTTATTCACTCATATTTGTTAGAAAAAACTAATCAACATTACGTAAAAAACTTGCTCAATTACAAAAAAAAAAAAAAATTAAAATCGTTTTATCTTTTACATCTATATTGTGCGTATAACAATTGTAAAACTAAATGGTTAATTATTGAAATAAAATAATGACATATCCTGCATAGTATTATATTTGGAAGGAATCGCGTATATAGGAGTAAAATGAAAAAGCACGTGCAACATCATCACCGTAATATTGTAATGTTCGGTCGACGTTTCTATCATTTTGATAAATATTTTTATTTTTTTTTTTTTTTAATACAAATTCCATTATTCATGTTCAATCCCTCTTCCTTCCTTCATCTACTGTTGGAAAATTGAAAATAGTACAATTCTTCACGACTGGAACATCTGTTTCAATGTGACGATCCGAAGGAAAAGAGAACATTAGAATGCCTTACTTGCATGTCACGTCCACAGTATTTGTCGTGGGTCGTGTTTACCTTTTATTGGAACGCGGGCTTGTCCTATTTGTGCAGACAAGTTGCTTTTGGCAGCGCAAACTAATGGGCGTACTAAAAGGAAATAACGGTGGCAGAAGGAGAAAGACAATGAATCAAAAATATTTCAGTTCAAGTCCGAAAAGTCAACAACTTTTACGCTTCGGATTCAATGTGAATAGAAATTAGCTTATTCTTTTATTTCCTATACACACAAATTATTATAATATATATATATTTATGTACACATACCGTACGATTTATTATTATGCACTTTTCAAAATCGTATAAAAGTTAGGTATAGCATTAGCGATAAAACTTTCACCGATATAACGATCGTGGAGAACATATTTTTATTCGTTTTAAAGTCGAAATATAATGTCATTTATTCAAACTTTTTCGTCACTAATACATTATAAAAATGTTCTCGTATAACGCTTTACGAAACAAAAGGCATTAACTAATTTAACATTATTTATATATGTTTAATGAAAAACGCACTACGCGTGTGTAATGATAACATTTTATGATAGAAATCTACAACGTTGAATATGAAATAAAAAGCATTTATAGTTGAAAATATGTCCGATGGATGTATGCGATAATAGAAAAAAAACTAATATACAATACACATTGTTCGTATATTAAAAATAATAAAGATGAACGTCAATAATATTTGAATAACCAAATGTTAAAATAATAATAATTTTCGTTGCGAAACTTTTTATTGGCTATCACTGAATTCCCTTATATTTTTTTATGGTTTTAGAGTGCGTATAGTAGTACTACAATGTATAGTAGTTTAAATATTTCCTGAGGTTCGCTCGCTATTTATAGTTATATTGTTATTTTATGTGTATCCGGAAAGGTGACTCATCTCTGGGATTCATAAAATGTACGCAAAAAAACGAATTATTGTAATATTTTTCATTGTTTTGCTTTTGTCATAACACAATTGCAGCAAGAAACAATTACTATGTTTTATGGATTTTATAAATTTACATAGAATTGAGTACCACTCCAAAGTCTTTCGTTTCAAGTCACCCCGGGGTTTCTCTTACACAACTATTCATTTCATGGCCGCAACTATTGTACGCATTCATTACAAACATTCTCGTGTAGTACGCGAAGCACACAATATTGTACTATCCTTGTCGAACTCCTCGTATCCGGTTGGTTCTAAACGTCATCGGGTGAATTGTTTGAAAACCTTTTTGACTTTAGACTTCTGGAGAAATATCTATTTTACCTGCCAACCTATTTTGGCTTCTGTCGTAGATCCTATAGTGTACCCACCGTCCCTTGGACTAAGTTATTACATGTATAGTTGGTACTCGGTATACAATTATATATATATATCACCCTATCCCTTTCCCGCAGTCGTCTCTTTGACCGCACATTCTTCTTAGCCGCCTTTGTGTAAAACTACATACGCGTGTACTCATTTCATATAACGTCCCAATAACTCTCACTTCTAAACTGTCCAGCTTAGATATATTCGCTCAGTTTCCGTTTGTTCTCGTTTCCAAATTGTTATCGTCGCAATAGTGCGAAGCATCACCGCGACATATTATTACACCAACTATGTGTGCTCAAGTATACTTTATATGTATTTTACCATCATCGTATTTTATGTTTAATATCTACTACAGTTATGACATCTTGACTGTCTCAAGACTAAAGCATTCAATAACTAATGGACCCAATATTATTTCCGCTTTTACATGCACTAACTAGAAGCAAACTATAATATCATGGTATTGAAAACGATTATTTCATTCTAATTGGAGTTTACTATGATGATAGTTTCAAAAATATACGATTTACTTATTTGAATTTCATCATGCAGCAAAAAATTACCTTCAAAACACTTTTTTGTCAATTATTTTCTACTCATATCAAGTGTCCCAGTACCCATAATTTCTTTTCTATACTATAGTTAGCCCCATAAATGTTTTACAATCAATACGCCGTTTTGTCTTTATTTATTCTTTCAATCGATAAATAGCGATCGTCAAAAACAAACAAATATAAACTTAGGGACATTTAATACATGCGTTTATCCGTAGTATATAGGGTTGCTATAATAAATTTTGGTCGACGTATCGTTCTAGTATATTCGAAACGATAATGTACGTTTCACGATTTATACGAAAAGTCGGTTTTTTTTTTTAAGAACCACCGCGGTCGAATTCGCGTTTACATTCCCATAACATGTCCTCCGGTGCACAACAACCTCCCATACTCCCTCCAGCGAACGGGTTAGCCGATTTACGATAGTTTCACTAATTTTTTTTTTTTTTTTTGTCAACCCTACTAATAATAACGAATATTACAATATTTTAACGATCTTATATATTATTATACATTATAAACTCAACAAGTTTTTATAAAAAGCAAAAATTAAATTAATTTAATTTACTTTACATAAAATATATTAAAAACATCCATCGGTCGCCTCAGAATCTAAAAATGATTCTTAAGTTCAAAGTGAATGAAAATATAAATATTTTACTAACTTTTTAATAGACATATATATATTGGTTATTTTTTCTATAAACCTAAATTTATATCAACAAGAAATAATACAAATTACTTTAAATATAAATATACAGGCAATGAGCTCAGATATTATTTAGAATCAATGATACAGTGCAATATTACGATACATTTTAAAACGACATTTCTGCAGATTTTTTTTCTAAATCGAATACTATTCACATTATATTAAAAAATATATTATCTTAAAACAAATACGTTACCTTTTTTAATGAGATAATATATAAGTAACGTCCTTTATCGAGTTCTAGTGAAATTTTTAATTTTTTTTATTTCATAAATCGATTTCGAGTGGTGGTTTGACTTTTTATGGATAAATTACGACCCTGACTAGGCCAATGCAGGCATAGGGTGTGTATATTTATATTTTTATTTTGGCAAAGGCCGATTTTTAATAATTTATATGAATATCGCAAAACACAAAAACCATTCTTTATACAATATTAAATATTTATAAACACGTGATCGGAAAGTCATACATGTACAAATAGCTTGTCAAAAATAAAACTTTTGTGCAGGTAATTTACAAGCGCAACGGTTGTTATTCATTTAATCATTATTTCGTTGTACGATCAACGTAATTAGTACTCTATAAATTTAAAGAAAAATATAAATAAAGAAATATAATATATAGTATCAAGTAAAAATTGAAAATGTACTCTTTATCTTATTTAAATATAAAACGAAAAAGGAAATTTATTTATCTTCATACTGTTTATGATGTTCATATTTTTTCTTTCGCATTTCCCTCTCTTTGTTTTTTTCAACAACCTGCCGTAGATTTAATATTTATTTTGAATATATAACAACGAGAGAAATAACCGGAACACGTGATAACCTAAGGTTATCCAACCCTAGGTTGGAGGCAATAGCCCAATCGGCTACCGTCCTTGGTTTGATGATTACCAATCAGCTGTCGGGCTGTTGCTGCACACTGTACGTATTTGCACGTGCTCATACAGCTTCAAAGCAAAACTGTAGTAGTTTATTTGTTCACATTTTTGGAAAACGACTAATGCCATGAGGTTGAAACTGTGTTTCGTTTACGAAAAAACCGTTAGACGATTACCGAATGAAAAACAAAAAACCATGTTCGTTGTACATCGGGATGGGGATTAGGAACGTTTCGTGTTCATTGATGAAGTAACCTAACCTAACCGATAGTCGACGATTTGTTAGGCACGGCAGGCGAACAGAAATACCAAAAGTGGTGGTAGGGCCCCATTTGCGGTGAACGGTGCGGGGGGGCGTTTGGAAACGCGGTACGACCGTTTTCGTTCCCGTTGTGATCGTGTATTGTTTTTTTTTTTGTTTTAACGCAGAAGGGTCACGAGTGCAAGGCGACGATCAAGTCGATGGCGCCGATGCGGCTGAAGTTCGGCGACTGCCGGAGCCGGAAGACGTTCCACCCGAAGCGGTGCGGCGGCGCGTGCCCGGCGCACGTGGAGTGCGCGCCCGAGCTGAGCACCACGGTCAAGGTGGAGTTCCTGTGCCGCAGCCCGGTGGAGGGACACGACAGGCTGGACGGCGCGGTTCCGGGCGACGACCTGTGGGAACCGGTGCACCGACCGTTCTCGGCCACGGCCGACGACTACGTGCACAGCGTGTACGTGGACGTCGAGTGGATCGTCAAGTGCACGTGCCGGCGGCACGCGGACTGACGACGGCGGCGGCCGTGAACCGCAGCGCGACCCCAGCAACCGGCCGCCCGCGACTTGGCTGAACTGTGAACGGCGTCCTCGGCGTACAAATCCTTTTTTTTCCGATTTTTTCCGATTTTCTTTTCTCGACGTCTCTCCGGAAGCCGTTCGCGTCGCGCACATGCATTCGAATGCAGACACGCACACATACACACATACACGTACACACACACAAACACACACACACACACATACACATCAATTCAGTTCACTCATTAATAGTATTATACACTATTTATTACGAAGGATGCGAAAGAACGAGTGAGATGGAGTGAGAGTGCGCAGGATTCGGAGTTTTTAAAAACGTTTTCAACGTTAGATGTATTTATTATTATTATTATTATTATTATTATTATTATTATTATTAATATAATTATTGTTATAGCGTTGTAAACTATTACGACCATTATAAAAATATTATACGATATTTTTACGTACACTTATGATCATAATCATTAAAACGTCTAAGTTTTGATTTGTAATGTATTTTTTTTTTAATAAGGTTTTTGCCGCCAAAAAGTAATGTTATCGCCCCGAGAAAAAACGACTGGTATTTTTCCGATCGTTATAAATTAATACGCACCGCGTTCCATTTGACGTTTACTATCGGTTTCGCTACGAAGTAATAAACAAACGAAAATCGTTAACTCGTTTCGAATAACGAACACGCAGGACAATGATATTTCGATGAGACTATATTTAGCTCGCTCTTCGCGGTTGTAACCATACAATTATCTAGTAAAAGATTCGCGTTAAGAATAAATCATTGCATCCCCGCTCCTTGATGGACCAAATTCGACGATTCCCATATTGTTCGAACACCCTGGACGTGCTAAAAATACAATCACTAATAATAACGGTAATTATCACTTTCAAGAGGTCATAATTTAGCTGTTTAGCGAGAGTAGTCCATTTTTTATCACAATGAATATCTCTCTAAAATTTAACTTGTGAAAATATCATTTTTAATCGATTAACAGATAACACATTTTCAACTTTTACTTTGAAAACTTACGGGACGACGTTATATTCAAAAGTTACGATACGATATTAATGTAATATACGCATGTAGACATCGCGTATAGAACGATCGAACGAGTAACACTTTTGTAAAATACAATGTCATATAGTTAATAAGACATTATAAATGGTATATATATATATATATATATATATATATATATACATTTCTACTAAGGGTATAGTTTGCAAATTTTTTAAATTAATTTGTTTTTTGCAAACATAAAAATGTTATAATATTATGCTTGTGTACATTTTGTATTAATGTGTCGCGTATTGTTTAAAAATTTTCCTTTGAAACACTAGAATAATATGTGATGAATTATTATTATCTATATGTATATATATATTTTATTTTTTGTTCTTTTTTTCGTTGTAAATATAAGTGACATTGTTATATCTTTATAGCTTCAATCACACACACACACACACACGCATACATACTGCACATTTATACTATATATATATATATATATATATATATATATATATATATATAACTAACCCGTGCATTATAAATTTATAATACATATATATACGAAAAAATCGAGTTTATATACATTCATAAAAAGGACCTACATGTAAAAAATAGATCTCTATATGAGTACCGGCATCTCTTTCATTTTATATCGTTCACTAAGGATTTCCTTATACTTGGTTATGCGGATTTCGTATTCATACAAGTCTAAACTATATAATAAACATACAAGTGATTTCGATTTGTTTGGTTTGTAGAAAAAAAATGGCGAAAAAGCTTCGGTAAAGTAAAATATTGTTGACGTTACCATTTACTTCCGATCGTTTCGAAATCGATGGCAATCCATTTATAGTGTAAACTTATTGCGGTGCAAACATTATATATTGTATATTGTTATTACAATACGTTTTCGCTTTATCTCCTGTTTTACATGATTTGATTTTAATTGCATTTCATACGACCAAAGTGTCTATTTAGTGTTTCTCTATTTCAACGGTTTCAAGTACATTTACGTACATATTTATATTGCATACGAATACGTATTATTGCACGATGACCCTAAAACGGTTTCGAGTCTATATGGTCTCTCGTTTTTCTTCTGCATACCAACCGGTGCCTCGTATCATGTTGTTCCTCTGTAAAATCAAAATTCGTTTCAACGATTTTAATGACGTATAACTTACAATTCAGTGCTTTTTGTTTTTCTTTTTTTTTGTCATACGACCTCAATCATTTTATGGAAAATTATTACGACTCCTTGCGGTGGATAATTATTTTACCATAAATTTCTTTAAAATAATAGGAATTGATTTTCCTAATCATATCCTAAAATTAAATTTTTGTACACAAATATCATATGACAACCCCCTTCCCTTGTAATATACTTACAATTTCCTAGTTTAAAAACTACTGATCTATGTATATTTATTTCGAAAAATATGGTCAACCATGCATAACGTGTTTAATATATATTTGCAGTTCAACACGACTGTTATTCGTACACTGTTCTTACACGATAATAATAATTATACAAATTATTTATGAATAAATGAACTCTAATGTACAATATTTATTGGTATGGTTTAGAGTTTTATTTTTCACCAAATCGTACATTTTAAGTTCACAAAACACAATAGTAGGTACAATTTAGAAGCCGACTTGGAACTTCTACCACGTGGTAGCTGACTATTCGTAGGTATCTGATATATATCACATTATTATAACTATATATGTATATAAATACTATGCATACAGTGCCTTAATGGGATATTTTTATTCTGCCCTAACCTCTAGGTCCTTCAATATTTACATATCCATACGTTGTTACCTAAAATATACTACATACATATATATATATATATATATAACAATAATAATAATAATATTAATAAAATTTTAAATTTGGTTATTTTATACATATATATATATATATATATATATATATATAAATGTATATATGATAAGAATAATATATAGAAGGGTTATAAAATTCGAGAAAAATGTAAGATTCTGTTTGTTTGTATTACCCAACCAGTCATTATTGTTTAAGATTATTATAGACATATAAGTTATTATTATGAATATTTTCGAAATGTTGCATAATTATTAATTAAGCATTAAGCAATTTAAAATTCTTTTTGACTTCATGAATACGAAATGGCTAAAAAAAATGTACAATTATATTTTGTTAATGTATAAGATATATCGCAATTTGTAATATTTAATCGAATTCAATAAAAAGTTATTATTTATAATGTTACGAATACCTTATTATTCCTCATAGATTCAATAAAACACTCAGTAAAATATCCAGTACTTATCTTTATTCCATATCCTTCTGAGAACAGTAAATCCGCTAAAAAAAAAAAAAAAAAAGTCAAATTGACTACAAGTTACCGGCAGTAAAATGTTGCTGTTGTTGTATGTAAGTATACCAAGCAAGTGCAAGGAATAATTATTCCAATCAATAATATGTTCTGATCATTCTAGTCAACAACTAACAACTCTGTTACACTACACTTCGATGCTTCAACGATATCAGTAAGATGTTGTATTATGTGATTAGAACTTGGAACCAAATACACGTTTTAATTCGAACGTAATCTAAAATCACTCGTATGAAGCCGGTCCCACACGACTCGTGTACTTTGCGAGCGTATACTCGGCGAGTGTACTTGCCAAGTTTGTATGAAGTTTGTATCCGACATCGACGGGAAACCGCGAGTGACTTGGCGAGTAAAAATAATCGTCTTACTTGACGATTAAACACCTCCTACACGACTTGTAAAGCATCACGATTGACGATTATTCGTCGAGTACACGAATCGTGTGGGACCGGCTTGACGCGAAGCTAACAAATATAAATACCTGCACACATGTATAAAAATTGCAGTTTTAACAATCTTTTATTTCAATAATTTTGATTAGATTAGAGCGCGAAATTATCAATTAATCTTTTCGGTTGTGTTTTTTTTTTTTATTATTATTGTTAAATTTATTTATATTTTTTTAAACTCTCAATACAAGTATAAAACGTAGATTAAATAAACATAGCCGGTAACATGGGAAAATAAATAAACAAACCGCACTGGTACACACCCGATTTATTATCGGTTATACCATAAATATGCGTATGTATGGAAAATAAAATATTGGGCCACAAAACATGATACGAATACACGCAACCAAATATTTGCATAGGTTCTTGGCGATATACAATTTTATAAAAAAATACCGTATCAACATATTTGCACAACTACCCGTAATCGCACCGATCAATTATAAGCTAAATATTGTTTTTGGTCGACAAATTGTTGTACGATATGATTTTTATAAAGTGATATATATATATATATATATATATATATATATATATATATATATATATATATATGATTAAGAAACGAACTAATTCTCGACTCGGACCAGAATACTATATACGATTGAGCTGCTAACACACATACTACATACATGTGTATACTACCAATCTTCGTAACCAAGAAGATCCTTGATATGCTGATAAAACGAGTAGTATCATTATAAATCTGGTTTCATCGTTGAAATATTTTAACTAAAAATGCGTTCAAATGAAAACGTTTCAAATCTGAGTATACTTCACAATCATAGTGTAACTGAAAAAATAGTTAATATGTAAATGTAGAAAAAAAAACCATAGCTAAAATTAATATATATGATTTTGATACAAAGTATTACCTGAATATAAATTTGACACTGAACATTTTGGCAACTATACCAGTATTTACAACAAAATAGTTGAATACTCGTTATCAACATTTAAACGCTTAAGAATTTTAGAATTAAACTAAAAATTAACGTTTTAACGTTTACTTACTCTTCCATCCATTCATTGGGGAGTATGAATATCTACAGAATACAACAAAAAAAAATAATAAATATGATTTATATGTATAATTCAGTTAAATTTAATTATATTCAAATTTTAAGATTTTAATTCGAAAAGCTGTTATTTGTTATTGCAAGAAGTTCTTGTTTAAGTGAAGAGATAGAAAATCTTTTAAAACCTCTCACCCAAAAATAATATTATATCTACGTGTATGATAATGTATACTGCACTTTCCATGTTTTTCATTAATTATTCCAGTATGCAGTTTTGCTGATTCGCGTTTATGTTACAATCCGTTTTGACGCATTATATTCAATATATATCGTATTAATTTTACATATTTTTACATACACAATATAAATGCATGTACAAATATTTTAATGAAATACGTGCAATTTATTAGCATCTAACATGACATGCTGCTACGTAAGCTCATAAACGTTTGGTATTACCAAATATGTTTTGAGCTATTGGATTGACATGCCGGTGTGCCCATTAAGTTGAA